CACCTGTACCGTGTGTGTTTACAGGTATTGGTTCAGATGAGGTGCAGCCTTTCAGCATGAGTCTGGAAGCTGAGATGATGCTGGAGCAGCTGAAGGAGCAGCATCTTCATGAAATGGAAGATTTGCGAAACCAGCTTGAAAGCAAGGTTTGTTAAGAAGAGTCAAATTTTCCACGTTTCGTCCATCAGCTTCAACTGAGGATCAAATCTGGAACTTTTATGGTTATAAATTGCTTCAAGAGTTCATTTCTGTCTCCAGGAACTGAAGGACTTTTTGTCGCCTGTCACTAAACAGTAATATTGCTTACCAGCAAATCTCATAAACATCAGACAAATTTTATTTAAACTCTGTTTTTTGTCAACATAAGATGAGCTTAGTGTAAAACTCAGGCATGAAATGTGGCGGGCCAAATGTGTTTTTTCTGCTGATAAAATGTCATGTTTCCTCTGTGATCTGACTGGTGGAGCTGGTCGACATGATTCTCTGCTGCAACACGTCTTTAACAGTAAAAACTCAATTTTCCTTTTAGATCAATGAGATTGAGAAGATGGTAGAGAAGCAGAGGATGACTCATGATGAGCAGAAAGCTGCCTTGATGGTCCAGCACCAGCGGGAGGTCCAGGTGTTGACAGAGAGGCTGGCTGATGTTCAGAGCCAGCTGCAGCAGGCAGAGGTGGAGCAGACCCGAGAAGAGCTGGAGAACCAGCAAGAAGAGGAATGTGGGAACCTCAGGCAGCAGCTGCTGGAGGCCCACACCCACATCGTAGACCTGGAGGAGCAGCTGAACACCCTGGAGGATCAGCAGGCCGAGGCCGACGAACACCTTCTGACCAAGATGGAGGAGCTGAGGAACCAACACGCCGTGGAGATTAGAAAACTAAAGCAAGAGCAGGTGGAGCTGACAGAGAAGAAGGAAAACCAACTGCAAGAACTAAAGGCTGAGTTTGAGAAAATATTAGCAAGTGACTTGGAAAGAGGGAAGCAAGTCTTGGAAGAAAGTCATGAAAGTTCACTAAAAGCCCAGCTGGAGGAAGCAAAGCTGAAGTTTGAGGAGGAGATGGATGTAAGGCTGAAAAAACTGAGCGAGCAGTGGCAGGAGGAGAAGAAGCAGCTGAGGGAGCAGTGGGAGAACGAGCGAACTCAACTTCAGGAGCATCACCAGAAGATCCTGCTGGACAGGATCGCTCAGGAAASACTGCAGCTCCAGGAGGAGTCCAAACAGAGGGAGAGCAGATTAAAGGACGAGTCCGAACAGAGGGAAAACAGGTTAAAGGAGGAGTGGGAGAAGGAGCGACTGCAGTATGAAGTAATGATCCAGGACAGGGTGAATGAAGAAAGGGCTCTTCTGGAGGAGAACCATGGAGAGGCCCTGAAGGAGCTGATGGAGAAGCACACTGAGGAGAGGAACACGTTAGGAACCATGTTGACTGAGCTGCGCCGTGACATCGGTCAGGAGAGGTGAGATGTTTCAGTGTTTTCTGCATCATGCTCGACACAGTTTAAAACTTTCTTCAGTGGTGGGCAGCGCTAACCTAAAAATTAGCTCTGCAATTTCTAAAGTGCTTATGAAAATATTTAGGTCCGCAACTTTAGTAGCGCTTATGCTATAGAAAAACTAGCGGAAACTAATTTTAAAGCACAAGTTCAATTTGACACTTACTAGCTGGCAATAATTCATGTACAATATATGTACAACACTGCCAACTAGTGGTGTATGAACTCATTAACAGCTTAATCCTACAACAGCTGATTGCTGGGGATGTGATTTCATGAAACAGACCTTTGGCTCCTGGTGTAAAAATGAAAAAGTTGTTGAGGATTGTTAGTTCGGCTGATTCTTTGTCTTTTTCTTTTGTTTGTTGTAGATTTTTCGTTAAAGAAGCATTAATAAAGTAATTTTAAAACTGTTTATTGGAAAACTGAAGCGATGCATTCTGGTTACATGACGGATTTGATTTGTGACGGGAAACGAAAGCACAGAAAATAGGAAACAATCTTCACTTCAAAATAAGAGCTTGGATTTTAAAGTTTTCCATGTAGTTGCTCCAGTTGACCACTAGATGTCTGTCTAACCCCGTTGGCGGATTGCTTCGACCAGTTACGTCAAATGTTGAACTCCAGCGTTTAAACTTGTTTTTAAAGGAGCTCCGATTGTAAAGTAAAATAAATCAATACATACAAAATTTTAGTATGGATTACAAATGTTATGGAATAATTATGTATATCTGTTCTACCTTGACACTGTCCAGTAATCATATCTCATGATAACTAGTTTCGACTGTTTTAATCTATCGGCCCAGACTTAAAGACTCCAGCAATGCATGACCTCTTTTATTTTGATAAGGTGTTTCCGTGCTGACAGCTCTGTCATCGGTTAGATGGTTCACAGTTGGCGAACTGTGATTGGTTGTAAGCATGTTACAGGATGTTATATTATCGTCTGCTCTGCGCTGAAGCGCCAGCCACAACTTGACAGACTTCTCTGATTGACTTCTGCTCTGTTGTTGCTCATATTAAATCATTTGACGACCATACACGCAGACTTGCTGTGCATTTATTCCAACGTGTTTCTGCATTCTTGGTAAATCGTGCCACCACACAAATGTTAACTGTTTTTGCTATTGCCTTCCTGCTACGTAAGCAGACACAAAGCATTGTGGGAAATGAGAACCATGACCGAAAGCAACAGTCAGCAAGGATGTATACCTTCACAATAAGTGTGTTTATCTGGGAGGGGTGTTGTTGGATAGATCACGTGTTGTGATTCATTGACAGTCCTACCTTCTGCTGTTCAAGATAATGATGACTGGTAGATAATTAGTTATTAGTGGTACTGCATTTTAATTTTAGAAAGCGCAAATCTGCTTATGAATTATAAAAATAGTACGACCGCTAAAGCGCAAACGAAATATTTATGCACGCTAAAGCGCAAATCCACTAATTGCAGACATAAATATTTTATCGCAAACAAAATATTTATGTCCGCAGTTAGTGGATTTGCGCTTTAGCGGGCTGGTGCCCACCACTGAATTTCTTTGTAAACAGAAAACGGAAAGGTCTGTGCCAAGACCCTAGGTTATACAGCTGCTGAGCTGTGATTGGTGGAATAGTTGTGCTGGATGCTTATTGGCCTGTCACAGTTGGCCTTTTTGCATTGTTGACCACTTATCATGTTTGCTTTGAGCAGAGTGTTGCCTCAGTGTGAGCAGGGATCATCATATCAAGAATATGTAAATCCAACACTGGTAGTACTTCTCTTTAGTATAAAATTCAAGACCAGCCGAAACTGAGTGAAACAATGTCAGATCAGCTTCAGCAGAACTGAACTGAACCCCACATTTCTGGGTTCCAGAAGTCAGGCTGTAAGTGTGCCCGAACGGCAAATCACAAAGTTACCAGGCCTTACAGGGTGTGTGTTTGTGCCAGATTGCAGCGAGCTGCAGCTCTGGCAGATATTTCAACATCACCACTAAAATTTAAAGAGTTGTTCTTTGTGACAACCCCAACATGCCCTGAAAATGTCATGAAAATGCATCCAACCTTTTTGAGTAATCAGATCGACGAGCAAACAAACACTACTGAAAACATAACCACCTTTACGGGGTTATTTTTATTTTTGCTGTAGCCAATAAATAGGAACAGCATTAGGGATGGGTACCTTTGGCATTTGAATCGATTCGGTACCAATATCCGGTACCTGGGAATGGGTACCGGTACTTAATGGTACCAATTTTCGGTACTTTGTGTGTGTGTCTTTTTTTTATAATAAACTTTTGTTTTTTAACATATTTCTCAATATATAAAATTAACAAATATCAAGACAACATCCAACTCTTTGTATTGTAACATGAGTTGTGTAACTTATTTCTTTAAAGAGCAACTCTTGAAAACAACAAGACTGTTTTGTCTTATTACACAAATTAAAATCCAGCTCCACGTGTTTCTATTGATGTCATTTCCCTGCTAGAAAAATTATGTGATGGAGGACCATGGAAGGCAAATGTTTAAATCAAACAAACAAAAGAGGATGCAGTTAAAAATAAATAAAAGGTATTTAAGCTAC